AGAGCACGTCATTTTACTATACGAGTATTGGTCGTTATTTATTAATCTGAAAATACATAAATGTAAAAAAAATTCCGATTTGCATATATGCACTATATTGGCTTAGTTTGTTTTGTCTCTCAGTTTTTAAGCTATCTAATTAAAAAAAGTTTTATTGTTATTTCTCATGTAAGGAAAACATCCCAGCTCGAAATTTAGTAATATCTAAAAGTGTATATCCGAATTATTCGTTATTTTGAAGAGTTTAAAGGAAATTAAGAAATTAAAAGGACTATATATTTCTTCATTTAATATTTAAATGATCTTTCTATGATTTTAGAAAAATTAAAGTTTTTTATTTTGCACTTTTAACCAACACTGCAAATAAGCAATTCTCAACCTAAGTTCAATCTAAAAAGCCATTAATATAGTACGGATGAGTGGGACAGGCTGACATAGAAGGTGTTAACAAGGCTCTAACTGAGACTTCAGCAATGCGAATTGATATCTGTGGGCCATAAACAGTTCCATTGCGGGGCATAATTCCCATTTCATTCAGCTTACGAGGTCATCATCGCTATTCAAGAGCGGCGGGACAATGCGAATAAGTGTGACAGAAGCAATTACAGCCCGATCCTGATGTCTTCGATGTCAACACAACGGAGCCAGAAGACATGGCAGGCAATTCAAGGATGCGCAGGACGCACAGGACTGCGAACAGAAGCCAAGGACACAGGCGACGCGTGACGCATCGGGAAAATATTTGTAGAAAACATTGAGGAAATCTGAAAGGAAGCACAGCGCGTCGGCATCCTTGACTTTGATTGGTGCCGATCCAAGGACGAAGTGCCATATCCACCCAGAGAGCTGACCTCGAGAGGAGTCGTCGGTGGGCCTCAGATCCAAGGTCATCGAAGTATATGTCCTGTCTGGCTTTCTTTTTGCTACATAACCCAACAATATCTACTAGCTGAAGATTACTTCATCTAGCTAAACACATCTGGCGATTGATCGGGCCAATTTCCCAAGCGAAGAGCTAACCACTCGTGTGCAGTTCGATTGTTAAATTAAACAAGCCGCATAACTCACACGAAAATTTTGAATAATTCTCGAGCATCGCTACTAATTAGCCGCCGATTGAGGCAATCAAATTGATTGCCTGCGATCCGAACCAAAGAAACCTCACGCTGGGATCTCCGGACCCAAGTTAGACGGATTGACGCTGAATCTATATATAGCCGGTGTATCGGAATAATACGGGGGATTTACTCCGATCGCCGGTTGTTTGTTTTGTTTGTTGATAATTTCTCTCGGCCCTTTGCTATTTTATACGCAGCGGGTCGTCTCCTGTTTCACTCTGATAATGAGTGCGATCTACTCGATTGTTTTTATCACCCCTTCCCTACTTTTATGGCATTCGGTGTATAATGAGGAGTGCCCCCGGAGGAGATCAGCCCGACTTCAAAGGAGAACCATCCCCAGCATGTGACCATCGCGGTTTCACTCAAGCTAGGAAAACAAACAAAACTCGGGACTAACTGCCGGTGGAGTATCCTAATGGGACGTCTTATGTAATGCCGCTCCGCTGGACAGGTGCATAGGTATTGGGCCATTTTAGACAAGCTTTTGAAGTTTGAATATTAATGAGTTGCGAGCTGCAGGTTCGCCAATCAATAAACCCATAAAAGAAAACAATACTCCCTCCAATGTTTATATTCAATATATCTGGAAGTATGTTTCGTTTATCTCAGATTGATAAGATAGCGTTTAAATGATATTTGAAAATAAAAATTTATTTCAAAACTCAATTTTATTGCGGTATAAATTATTTAATTTGTGGTTTTAGTTGTAAAACATAAACCAAGTATTTATTATATTTTTTAAATAAATATCAGCTTCATGTTTTAGTGCTTATACAATGTAGTAATGATTTTGGTGGATTCTAGTAATGATTTTGATTGATAAGATCGAGTTTAAAATAAAATGAATTAGAATTTTAACCTATTTTTTATTTATGGTTTTAGATTTAGTTTGATTCCCGAGTGCTTATCTTGTTATTGAAGGTATTTGCAGCTTTCTTTTACTAAGGATAGTTTTCTTAGTGTCCTAATGATGTTGGTCACTCTGGCTGCGCTTGACCAACGGCAGCTGATAGTGCTGCTCCGGGTGAAAATAATGATGCAGCATCGAAAATATATCTGAGGGCTGGGAATTAACACATTCGCCTCCTCCAGGCGCGTGCCTGTTCCACCTTCCCGTGCATTCATCAATATCCGCCGGACCGACCCACCGAGTTGCTACATGGCAGAATAGCTATATAGATGCTATCAGACTGGAGTAACCCTCATGGAAGTGCCAAAAATGTGCAACGCCGCCAGCGGAAGACTGAAAGGAAGGACGAACGGAAAGGGGGAGGGGTTAGAAGGACATAAAGGGACATGCAGCCACTCGGCACAATGGGATGTTCCCGATTCACTGTCAAGGTAATTTATTAATTCGACAATAAAATCGCACGAATTCCTCGGACTGGTATTCTGGATCGGGTTCGGGCTTCCATTCGAGATGGGGTGTGTTGTGGTCGGACACTCGCATGTGGGCCTAACAACTCAATTAAAGTTGCCCGGGTCCTGGACCCCGAGCCTGCTGCACTTCCTTGGTGCGCAGGGAGTTTTATGGCCATGTGTTGAGTTCGGATTAATCTCGATTGAGGCATTGAACGAACCCGATCGGTGGTAGTGAGAAAGCTAAGTGGCTCTGCGCCACTAAATTTGCCAATAAAATTTAATAAAAATTAAAGAGTTGAATGAAGGGAAGGATTTTTAGTTCAGAGATAAAATTTATAGTTTAATTGATTGCGTTCCGCTTATTAAATTAATAAACTTACAGATACTACATAAAAGAGCTTAGATTTTTAATACACTCCTCATTATACGGAAAATAGTTTGTGTAGTTAAATTATTTTAAGCATAATATAAAGCATCATTTTTCTATCTTGAATCTATAGAATCAAATGAAAAAATATTTCAAATGATAAAATGATAAATGAAGTATTGAATTGAAATTTCAAAGTAAAAAAAAAAAATAGCTTGTTTTTTTTTAAATTATTTCGAATAGACAGAAGCAGTTTTCGAGTTTTCTCTGTAGCTCTGAATCTATGTGGAAGAATAAGTTTTGTAACCCACTCCACATCGCTAGCTGATTGTTAAATTTACTCTAAAACCGAAAAGGCGGCTCGCATTCGCGGGTGTTGTTGCAATCACAGGACATCGGGGAAAAGCGAACTGCAGCCTGGCGAACTCTCTTCTGTCAAACTGAAAAACGCCATAAATTTTGTGCAACAATGGAAGCTGCCAGCGGATGGAGACGGGGTTTGGGTTGTTCGGGGATTCGACTTGGGGTAGGGTGGGATTCGCACATGCACAAACGGCACACATATGTCAGATCTATCGATATGTTAGGGGTGTTCAACGGGGGTGGCTATAGAATTCTTTTCCGCCGCATAAGCCGATCAGAAAGTCATGTAAACACAAAAGTGGCGGAGAAGTGATTTTTTTAGCAGTCAATTTAGCTGAGCGGATTTCGGGTGTTATGTAAATATAATATAGCATTTGAGACCCCAGAAATCTTTGAAACCAAGACATGAAATAGTGGGACTTGTATTTTTTCAATATTTTCAATATTTTCTATTTCTCTCTTAAAACAATAAAACCAAATAAATACAACCATATTGAAATATTAACTGCCAGCTTTAAAGTGTTTGTGTTTGGTTACGAATGTATTTGGTATCAAGATGAGAGAAGAAAGAAATATATATTTAAATATATATTGGTCACCATGCAATTGATGCAATAGTCAGGACATTTTGCATAAATGTCGCTCCTTTTTATTATTTGCAAACGAATCCCAGCTATTTTAAACTACCTTTTTGAGACTTTATCAAATGTTGGATATAAATTCTGCCAAGATTTCATTTTGGTATAGCTGTCATGGCCTTCGAAAAATTTAGAAAAATAATAGAAAAATCGAGTTCATTTCTTTGTTGTTAACACGTAAATGTACATTACTTAAACTAAACTAATTGTTTTTAATCCGTTTGTTGAACATTTGTAACATTCTCGTAAATTAATTTTTAAACATTTATAAATCTTGTTAATGGAGAGGTGTTTTAATATTTGTTTAACTGTTTGTGTTTGCAATTGCGCGGGTGAGAAGTGACGTGTTTTTTGGCAGTCACTTTGGCAGGGCGGCGTTCGGGTTTTGGGCAAACAGCGGGCATAGGAGTGAGTTTTTGAGGCCGGGATCCGAGTTGCGCACTTGCCGGGCCACAAGGCAAACAAAAAGCGCAAACACGCGACCCTCGGCCACGCGCAATATCCTTCCAGGATCGGACGCAATGTTATCCTTTGGCCGCCCAGTGCCGCGGAATAAATTCGGAGGGAAAGGGCCGCGGATTCCGGGAACAACTGGCGGCCAGTCCTCGTAGTCGTCTTTCTGCGCGCTGGCAAAAATCCAGAGAAATTTTTAGGGAACCATAAACGGGCCGGGGAAAAAGCCTCCGCGACGGAGGAACGTTTTCAGCAACAGTTTACAGTTCACTATTCCTTTTTATGTCTTTATGATTATTGCAATTAGAGGGAGATCGACGGTGTGTAGTCCTCCTGCTCTGCGCACCTCATAGGTAGGCATCTCATGGCTGTAATTACCGAGCAGCGAGATTCAAGGTCGCCGAGGAGGGGAAGTGCGCGGGCGGATAACTCGCGATGATAATGGGCGCGATGGGTAGGTAATAAGCAGCGCAGCAGGTAGGCCTCGAACGGATAACTCCGGCAGGACCTCGGATAACTCCCCTCCCCTCGGTCGCAAGGACATTTCCCCGGCGGGGAGGGTTGCGAACAGCAGGCGGCAAAGTGTCATGCGCAGGGACATTTATGCGCTATAACGGCGAGCGTGTGCCGAGGTCCTCCGCTTTTGCTATATATGCAGGATCTGCCGCAGGACGAGCTCATTCGCAGACTCACCAGCGTTGCGTGCACATCGCAGAGTTCGATCAGAGTTTAGACACACACACACACACATCAGAGATGGCAGCCACCAACTACAGTTACGCAGAGAACATGAACATGTACAACATGTACCACCCCCACAGCCTGCCGCCCACTTACTACGACAACTCCGCCGGGAACGGTTACTACCAGGGAGGCTACCAGAGCTACCAGGGCTACTACGCCCAGGAGAGCTACTCGGAGAGCTGCTACTACAACAACTACAGCTGCCAGGATCAGGTGACGAGCCAACCCACTCCAGCTGCCCAGCCCACCACCCCCCGCCGAAGGTCGCCAAGCGGAAGGCCGAGGAGGACGCCGCCTCCATCATCGCCGCCGTGGAGGAGCGACCCAGCACACTGAGGGCCCTGCTCACGAATCCCGTGAAGAAGCTGAAGTACACGCCCGACTACTTCTACACCACCGTCGAGCAGGTGAAGAAGGCCCCCGCCGCCAAGGTCGCCGCCAGCCCCGCCCCCAGCTACGAGCAGGAGTACGTGGCGGTCCCCACGCCCTCCGCCTCCGAGGACGTCGACTACTTGGACGTCTACTCTCCGCAATCCCAGTCGCAGTCGCAACTGCAGTTGCAATCGCAGTCGCAGAAGCTGAAGCATGGCGACTTCGCCAGCCCGCCACCGACCACGCCCACTTCTCTGCCGCCCGTCGAGGGCATCAGCACACCACCCCAGTCGCCGGGGGAGAAGTGCTCGTCAGTTGTCAGCCAGGAGATCAATCATCGCATTGTGACAGCCCCGAGCGGGGCCGGCGATTTCAATTGGTCGCACATCGAGGAGACTTTGGCATCAGGTAGGCATCGCTTTAGATCAACCCCTAAAATGCACGACCCTTAAATTATTAGAAAGATATCCCCCTACAAATATTTATATTTAAATTTAATCAATTACTTATCAATATCTTTATTTATTATTTACAGATTGCAAAGACTCCAAACGCACCCGCCAAACCTACACCCGCTACCAGACTCTGGAGCTCGAGAAGGAGTTCCACTTCAATAGGTACATCACCCGTCGCCGCCGCATCGACATCGCCAACGCCTTGAGTTTGAGCGAAAGGCAGATCAAGATCTGGTTCCAGAACCGTCGCATGAAGTCCAAGAAGGACCGCACGCTGGAGAGCTCCCCGGAGCACTACTCCGCGATGATGCCGCCACTGGAAGCCACCACCACCAGCACCGCCGGGGTTCCCCCCGTGCCGATGTACCACCACCAAGCCACCGCTGCGTACCCCGCCTACAACCACGCTCATGGTTACGGTTTGGTGAACGATTACCCCCAGCAGCAGGGGCACCAAAGCCACCAGAGCCACCAGTACGATGCGTACCCGCAGCAGTACCAGCAGCAGTGCGGCTACCAGCAGCATCCGCAGGACCTCTTCCATATGCCCTGAAACCGCCGAAAAACCGAACCGAACCAAAACGAAACCCGAACCAAAACCATAAACGAACGCACTTCTCTCGACCATTTGTAGGTGACACGCAAATGGCGAAAGCCGAGAACGAAGCTGCGATGCGATGAGTCGCACAGTAGAGCGCACTCCCTACGGTGCCCAGAAAGGACCCTTGGGCACAAGGACCAGTGCGCATGTGCAGAGGCCTAAGACGGCAGACGGGCTGAAAGGCAGACAGCCAGAGGATCCTTGCTGCGAGCGGAACCCAGTGGCTGGCCATGATGGGTTCTCAGCGATCGATTAGCTGCGGCCAAACGCAAACCCAAAACACTCAGCCGGGAGGCTGATTGTGGCCAAAAGACTTGGAGACTGACAAATGTTTTTGTACAGATAGTTCTTAAGATAGCCTTATAGTAGAATATTATTTATTTAAATATATAGCAAACATCGAATTTAAACAAATCGATCTGAGTATTTATTTGGGGGTGGGTTGAGGTGGACATTAATTGATTTAAAACTTTTGGGAGATATAAAATTTAAAGAAAGTTAAAGCTTAAATACACAAGCATTTATCAACATTATTTAGCATTTATATCTATAAATATGCTATTACAGATTATTATATTAAGTTCAATTCAAGAAATGTAAGTTGAATAAAAATGGTAAAGTCGAGCGCTCCTAAACTAATTATGCAAATTATGTAGATGCATATAATATTCTTTATTCAGGATTGTATCAATTTGAGATTTACGTAGTTTATATAAACAAACAAATAGAGATGTTTATCGCAGATCTAATTTTACATTTATAGTTTTTAATATAGACCGATTGATTCTGAATTTAGTAAGCAGAAAACTACACATTTTTTGATTAATTGCGTTAAACAAACTAAGTTGCAAATTCGGATTTTTTTTTTTGTGGAATTGCAGTCTTTGATCGCTGAAACCACCCGACAGATTTTTGCTGAACTTATTCGAAAGGCAAACGATTTAATGTTGAGCAGGAATCGTGCAAATTCGGGCAGCTGCATTTTCTCGGTCTATCCCCCTCGTCCCCGACCCACTGCTATCTCTCGGATTTTCTATAATTTTCACTCTTTTCGCCAGAGAAACGTCACATTTTGGTCGAGACTCGGGTATTTCTACCACCACATCCCCTGCTTCCTTCCTCCCCTTCGGCGCAGCTTGCTCCTCTATTGAAGTGAGACATTGATTGGTCATTTTTCATTGCCCGCCCGTGACAGTTATGGGTATCGCTGCGCAAAAGAAAAGCCGGATCCCGATACGGAATCGGAGTCGGAATCAGAAGCAAAGGCGAGGGGAGCCATGAGCAGTTGCATTTTGCCTGGCGTCATTTATCCGACTCATTAGGTAAAAGTGGACAGTGGGTGAGCACGGAGTAGCATCTGTGGTTCATAGGATAGACTTAGGTGCGAAGTGGCATTCGGTTAGTAGAGTGGTGAAATGCAAGCATCAATATGCGAAAGGAAATTTTGTGATCGTAATAAAGTTTACTATCTTCGTTTTAAAGGGGCTGAGGGGCTCTAGTTGCGTAAGCTTACTGACTCACTTTTAAATACAATACTAACTTAAACTAATGCCTTGGTTTTTAGTAATGCAAATAATTTCACTAACTAATTTCTGTGGAGGCAATTTAAATGGTAGTAAGAAAAACCAACTCTACCAATTTAACGCGATTTAATTCTAATATGAACCTCGATAGGATTCTCTTATGCTACTTATGATACTCTTAATATGCACGTTATTTAACAATAAACAAGTTTATATTCAAGACTCGTTAGTATCTTTCCTTAATATTTATGTTCTTTTATTTTAGTTTATTATTGGTTCGGTCCGTCCCATCCCGACTGAGTGATGCTTATCAAGGAAAAATATAAAATTCTCTTGGAGGGTGTCTCGTTAACTGCATTGCTAACTTTTGTCTGTAATACAATTTTTTTGCTGCAATTGTATACAAACTTCATAACTTCTGGTGCTAAAATTTTCAAAGTATCCACTTCCTACGTTATTTTACCAAAACAAAATAAAAAAGCCAAACACATTTTTTATAGTTTCCAAATAACTCTTTTACCACATTAGGCAAGCAATCGTCCTTTGTGAATTCCCTAAAATCACCCTTTAGTCAACATTAAGCAAACGAAGGCGCAAGGACTTTTAGGTTTCCTCAAAAGTCAATATTTCTTTTCATAATGTTTTCTAGAGTTTCTAGAAGTGGTAAAAGATTTACGTGTAAATTGCGAAAGAGTTACGTTAACTCTTCCCGAGTCCTTCTGCGAAGTGAAGCCTTTTTTATCCTTTTTATTCGCATTTCGTTTTATTAGAGAGCCTCGGAGTCAGTTCTTAACTCATTCGCGAACCATAAAACCCTAGATTCGCGGAAGAAGTCGCCGTTGTGGGCGGAATCCTTTTGCCGGCCGGGTTCAGTCAAGGCTGCAAAGTCAATCCTTTAGCATAATCCTTTAAATAGTCAAAATAAAGCCCGCCTTTGTCAAAACAATGCGCTTCCCTCGCAGAATTCGCATTCGCGAATAGGCGGTGCCATTGTGTCCATTTAGCCGGCAGGTACCGCCTCCTCAAAGTCCTCGGGCTCGAAGGATTCCTCGGCCTGCATCGCTATCCTTCCACCAGCCTCAACCATAACGATCGTAAAGTTATCCTTTCGCCAACACGGGCACACGGTTACCTCCTTAAGCTGGCGAAGGAGTTACAAAGTCATAAAAACAAAACACCTTTGTCCGCGCAGCATTGTCGGTTGGCGAATTATCCTTTCTGTCGCCGCTGCCGAATCCTTAATCCGCGTAGTGTTTACAGCCAGTTAGAGCAGGACACACTGGTAGAATAGACAGAGAGGGTCAGAGATTCGCAAATGACTTGACCCTGGCGAAAGGGGAAGGAACATGAAGGGCTAGAAGTGGTATGCCTTGTGTTTCGCAGGATAAGCCTTTAGCTGGAAGGGATCAAATTGCATTATCCTTATGTTAAAGATAAACACGGAGCGTCTAATCCAAAACATTAGATCAAGCGTGATATTCGAATTAACTCGGTTAGGAAAAGTGGGTTTCGAACTATTCTGGGTTAAAATATACTGAATTTGAAAATGTATTCTACTAAAGCGACAACAATTGATTAGTTTAATTTTAATAGGTTTTTTAATTGAAGGTCAAATTTTAATTTAAATGAGAATTAAATATCAATTATTTAACAATCGTAAAGGTAAAAAATGTATATAAATTAGTCAACCCAAATTGGTTGTGAAATTAATTTGTTTAATTTGCCAAAAATATTAATACCCTTACCTATTTTCCATACTAACTTCGCAATTACGTTAACAACTTTAGAATAGGGTAGGTAAAATAACCGAACACTTGTAAATCTGGCGAAACTGTGCTCCTGTCATATTATCACCCAACATGAAATGATAATCGAGTTCATATAGCGATGGCCAAACGACTTCGGCAAGTCATCGTGGAGGTCAGCACTTCTGTTGCGGCCGCACCCTTTGTTGTGATGGCCATATATTTATGGCGCTCAAAAAGCAATTAATTGTGACCCAAATCAACAATTTCCGAATGGCTGGCAATATCAACACGGCAGCCCGATCTAATGGCCCGGCAAATGCCACCGATCTCCACGGACCAAGATGTAGGAATAGGAATAGGAATGGATATATGCACCTAGTGGGAATGGGAATGGTAATGAGATCGAGATCGGCTGGCTTGGCCTGGTATGCTGATGCTGCATGAGTTATGGCCACCACGGTAAGATGTCGCCCCAAACGCTTCGTTTCTATGCACACTTAAAAAAACAGGTTTTAAAACTCAATTGCCATCTTAATGATATAATCCTATAAAATTACCATTGAAAATAAAGCAATATTAATGTATAAAATATTATTTCCTTATTTTATATTATTAAATTAAAGTAGTAAACAAGATTTCAGATGTTTTCTTTCTGTGCACAAACTTAGTTCATGTTGCTTGTACTTTCCAGGAAATCTCGCGGTAAAAACACCGATGAAATCAGCGCCAAAACCCAAACTAAACCAAACCAAACCCGATCATCTGCCAGCGGCTAGATCAGTGCTGAACTGAACCCTGGCCCAGCCAGAGGTTAACATCAATATGGTAATAAGCCATATCACATCCACTGAGAACCTCCGATCCCAAGCCATCCTCATCCGAAGCTGTGGGATTTATGAGTTCACCGAATGCTTTATGGCGTGTCGCTTTGACTAATTTATCTGCAAAAGGCGACGGCGCTGGTCACGAACTTTATTGTTAATTTATGATTAAGCTGATTATGTTCGAATCGGTTTTGATTCGGGTTTTTGTTAGACATGCCCAACAAAGGCTGTTCAAGTGGAGGATTATACAAATTGTGTCGCTGCCGTTTGCCAATACCAAAAATAAAGGTTTGCCGATAAGTTTTTTTAATTTGTTTAATTATGATAAGATTTTAATTTGCGGGAATGTTTTAAAAATATGTAAAGAAAGTTGTTCTTACAGGTAGCTAACTTCCTTTAAATGCTTTTAGTTTACAAATAGAAATTATGAATATTCAAAAAAAAAAGTAATTTGGAATTAAATTGCATACACATTTAAAAAGTTTGTACCAAGCGATTACTTTATAAAATATGTACGAGTTAATCAGTAAGACGAGTATTTTTGCTATTCTTGCTAAACACAAAGTAAACTACTTAAACCCTAATTTTAATAATAAAGGAAATAAATTCTTTACGATTTAAGTATATTTTAGATACTTTTAGACTTTAAGATTCCTAGAATTCGTTTCTTGAATCACAATGCTGTTGTACCACTATAAAAAAGATTTAATTTCCAAAAATATACACGTGTCTTGGATTAAACAAAACAAAAAATTGCTCACTACATTGTATTTGTTCCACAAGTAGCCTTTTCCAGATCTTGTAAAGTAATATAGCAGATATATTTCAATTATTGTTGATGCTTGCCTCGCCCGCTAAAGAAAAAGTCTTTCGTTTCGTTATTCCGAAAATGAGACCGACTGCGAGAAATCTCTGGTCGGTTTATTTTAAATGGGCCGTAAAAGATAATTTTAATTTTTAATCAAACATATGCACTGCGAATCCCGCACCGACGAAGACCAGCATCCACCGCGGATTTTCGAGTCAAAGAGGCCGCCGAAAAAAAACATGTGAGGATGCATATGCATCCTCAGATTCTGATTCAGATTCAGCGGATGGCACCGCTCGACGTAGCACATCTTGAGTGCTCGAGAGCCCGATCTGCCACTGCCACCGCCTCCGCATCAGCATCGGCATCGGCACTATTTAGCTATAGCTGGCATTATACTCGCATGTTCACGGCCAAATAGAATTCCAAAGAACACAGGCGCTTGGATATATCGCGTACAGGAAAAAAGAAAAGTTG